GCAGCCATACAAAAGGCTTTGTGTGCACCTGCCTGGTCCCTCTCAGAGACTGTACTTCAGATGGGTCGGGCTGAGTCCTTCCCATTCTCAGATTGTCATCTTAGGTCATAACCTCCAACTACCCAAGCTGTAACAATCACCTGACAAAGCCTATGACTCTGTAACCCACCCATGGCAAACAGAGAAGCCTGAGAGGACATAATAGGGGTGGGAGGAACATTAACAATTGTCAAGTTCCCATTACAAGCAAAAAGCTTTCAAACTAATCCTGTGAAGTATTTATTCTTATGCCTGCTTTTTAGATGAGGCCACTCAAGCTCCGGGAGATTGAATGATCTGCCAAACTCATACAGCTAGTGAGAGGCAAAGTAGGATCTGAACCAAAGTCTGCCGCTCTAAACACCCACGTTATTTTATTTCATTCAGTAGAATTTACTCTTCTTCACATAGTGGTGAAGGTATTATTATGGCTACTTTACAGATGAAGAAACTGAGATTGCTTTTGAAATGAGTTTGTCCTCTGGAACACTCAACTCAAGCAATTTTCCACACTGTCTCATATCAGTATTATTAATACACAAGTCAAGACTCTTAACAGAACGCAAAAGAAAATAAGTGTTTTGGAGGACAAGCCCCTCGCAGTGATTGCTCAATCTCTTCACAGTTCCAAGTAGACTAAGTCTTAATACACGCCCTCGTAATTTAACATCATAACCAAAATGGTAATGTCGTAGTAACCTGTATTAAAGAACCATGACTTCTAAATCTAAAACTCACATCTGGGGCTTCCCTGGTGGCGCAGTGGTTGAGAGTCCGCCAGCCGATGCAGAGGACACGGGTTCGTGCCCCGGTCCGGGAAGATCCCACATGCCGCGGAGCGGCTGGGCCCGTGAGCAATGGCCGCTGAGCCTGCGCGTCCGGAGCCTGTGCTCCGCAACGGGAGAGGCCACAGCAGTGAAAGGCCCGCGTACTGCAAAAAAAAAATCCAACAAACAAAACTCTTATCTGAAAATGAATGATGTGCTTAGTCCTCAGCTTCTAAGATTCTTGGCGAAGACTTTTTTGGTTGCAAATAACAGAAACAAATCTGAGTTAGCATCAATAAAGCAAGGGTTTTATTGGAAGGATGAAATCCAAGAACTAGGGGAGGACAGCTTGTAGGGAATTTAAAGACCTTCCTTTGACAGCTGAGGCAGCTTTCATGACTCAGTTCCCAACTTTGGGACTCAGGCCAAATTCTCGGAAGGAGAAGTGAATGGTTCCAACTAACCCAGTTAGTTATGGAGCAGGGTTACCTGGTAGAAACATGGCTGCCAGACTCACCCCTATGAGGGGCAGAGTTCTTAGTCACTCTTAATATTTATTCTTAAAAATTATGGTTAACTCCAAACTCTAAGCACAAAATTATAACATGGACAGACCAATATGGTGGGGAAAACACCATATAAGAAGTCAGGAGACCTGATACCCATTAATTCTCTGCAGTGTCTTTGGGCAATTCCTGCATCTATAAAATGAGGTGTTGAAGTAGATGACCAAACGTCTTCTAAACCTACCCTCAGTTCTAAGTCTCTCTTGCTGGTTCATGTAACAGTCACTTCAATAAGACTTTAACACAGCTCTCTGAGGAATGTGCATGTTTTGATGGACCCCAGGGTTTGTTTGAAGCTTCTTCCTACAGAAAAAAATGAGTACAACATCTCAAGCATGTCAACATCCAGCTCTGTAACGAGGGAAGCAAAGATAAATCTGCCAATTCTAGGTTCAGTGCTGGCCTCACGGACCCCATTTCCAAGGGGGCTTCTTCCACACCTATCTAGTGCTCTATCCGTCCTTGGATCACCTAGCAGACCACATGATTACAATGTCACATTACTGTGCTGGGTTTTTGGTCAGTACTTTATTTTAAGCCTGCCTCAAATTAGCTGAGAACCTGATTCAGAGTTAGTGCTGACATTACCCTTGTCTGGTGCTGACCACACAAAATTGAGCACAACTCATTATTAGAAGGAATAATGAATCAAGGCAATTCGTTTCAACCATATGCTTTATTTCTTATTGCACCCTCCATGTCTCTTCTTTTAATGATTCTATTCTGCACCAACCGCAGTACTTGGGTTTCTGTCTAAAACTAAATGAGTTCTCACCTGAAACATTTTTAAAGTTGTAACACATTTGCCAACCCTACCTACCTGCACTCCAAACCCTCCTTACTCTGCTCTGCCATTTTTCCCATAGTATTTATCACCTTCCAACATATCACATAAGTTATTGTGTATATTATCCCACCAGACTGCAAGGCCCACAAGGGCAGATATCTTATTGTGGTACATATATATCTGGACTTTGCCCCTGGTTCCTGGGACAGAGCTCCTAAACCCTTGGAATTTTCTAGTGATAGGAGTGTCTTTTGTATTCATAACAAACTTCTTTCTAACCACAGTTGAATAATGCTGACGAGGTGACTAGTGGTGAGGCCCTAGATAGCTTCAGGATGGAGGCCAGTGGCCAGAGAAACCAACCATGTGATGAAAGTGTTGGAATTTTCAGCCCCACTCAGGAGGGGAGAAGGGCTGAAATTTGAATTCACTTACAATGGTCAATGATTTAATCAATTGTGCCTGTATAATGAAACCCCACGTAAAAACCCTAAACAGCAGGTTCAGGGAGCTTCCAGTTCATTGAACAAAACCACATGCCTGGAGCGTGGTGCACCCTGACTCCACCAGGACAGGAGCTCCTGCACTTGAAGCCCTTCTGGATCTCGTCTTATGTACCTCTTCATCTGGCTGTACATTTTTATCCTTAATCCATGGTCATCAGTGTAAATTCCTGAGTTACGTGTGTCACTCTAGCAAATTATCAGATCTGAGGGGAAGGAGGGTGTCACGGAAACCTCAGTTTTTTAGTCAGCCAGGCAGAAGTGCGGGTACCCTGGGGGCCCCATTTTTGGCTGGCGTCTGAAGTTGGGCAATCTTGTGGAACTGAGCTCTTAACCTATGGAGTATACGATAACTCTAAGCAGTTAATGTCAGAATTGAAGTGAACTGTTGAATACCCAGTTGGTGTTGGAGAAGCAGAGAATTGGTTGTTGTTGGAAAAATAGCACACTTATTCTCCTAGAAAAGTGTCTGGCACATAGCAGGCATTCACCTAATATTTGCTGAATGAGTAAAGGGATGGATGTCATCTTACACAGGACTGCCATTAAATTTCCCCTGTTTTGACCATCACCTTCTTGGGAATCCCCATTCCTTCCTAATGGATTTCTAACAATTCAACAAATAAATATTCTGAGGTCCCAGCACATGCCAGGCACTGAGGCCCCATCATTAATAAAGTTAACCAGGAGGTAACAAGGATGCCACTTGATGCCATGGGTCTTAGAACAATTCAAGAACTCACGGTTTTCTGCCCACCCCACCAGCATGGAGCCAGGCCTTGTGGACAGGAGAGGCCTGGCCCTCTCTGAAACTCAGCCCTCATGGGCCACAGTGATTCTTCAGTTTGCCCTCACATGCAACAAAATGCAGCCCTGAACGTATTCCTCTCAACCTCTGAAGCCTGGATTAAAATCACACGGGAAAGACTGGCTCTAAAGACACCATGTTTGAGAGTCATTCTCAGCAGGAAGCAGATGGAACTCCAAGCTGGCCAAGAACACAATCCTCTGTGTTTTCAGCAAACAAGCTTCCCCCACACAGGGCATCCAAGAGCCAGCTGAGTTGCTCCCTCCATCTCTTCTCTTAGCTTTTAGCCTCTACACCCAAATCTATGGGGAATTTTAAAGAAATTCCTCTCAACACATGACATTCACAAAAACAAATTCCAGATAGTTGAACTTAAATATACAATTCCTACATTACCACAAAAGAATATTATTGTAATCTTGGGGCAGAACAGTCCTTTATAAGCAGGACAGAAAACACAGAGGTAACAAAGGAAAAATTAGATGGATTTAACTAAATAAATTTGGAAACTTCTTAAGAATAAAGAACAAGACTAACAATGTTAAATATAAACTTACAGCCACTGTGGAGAACAGTATGGAGGTTCCTTAAAAAACTACAAGTAGAACTACCATATGACCCAGCAATCCCACTACTGGGCATATACCCTGAGAAAACCATAATTCGAAAAGAGTCATGTACCAAAATGTTCATTGCAGCTCTATTTACAATAGCCAGGACATGGAAACAACCTAAGTGTCCATCATCAGATGAATGGATAAAGAAGATGTGGCACATATATACAATGGAATATTACTCAGCCATAAAAAGAAACGAAATTAAACTATTTGTAATGAGGTGGATAGACCTAGAGTCTGTCATACAGAGTGAAGTAAGTCAGAAAAAGAGAGACAAATACTGTATGCTAACACATATATATGGAATTTAAGAAAAAAAAATGTCATGAAGAGCCTAGGGGTAAGACAGGAATAAAGACACAGACCTACTAGAGAATGGACTTGAGGATGTGGGGAGGGGGAAGGGTAAGCTGTGACAAAGCGAGAGAGAGGCATGGACATATATACACTACCAAACGTAAGGTAGATGGCTAGTGGGAAGCAGCCACATAGCACAGGGAGATCAGCTCCGTGCTTTGTGACCGCCTGGAGGGGTGGGATAGGGAGGGTGGGAGGGAGGGAGATGCAAGAGGGAAGAGATATGGGAACATATGTATATATATAACATTCATTTTGTTGTAAAGCAGAAACTAACACACCATTGTAAAACAATTATACTCCAATAAAGATGTTAAAAAAAAAAGACAGCATGACACAAACTTTTGAGTCATAATGTAATCAAAATAGATATAAAATTCTATGAAAATTATTTTTTAAAAAGCTAGGTTAAGTTTCTAGTTTTCTTTTGTTATTTTAGTTTTACAGTTTCTAAAATAAACTCTGCCATTGATAATTTTCCTCAAAAAAAATAAACTGATACAAATATTTTAATATAAATCAATAAGAAGGTTAATAGTGATAATGTATACAGAGCTTCTACACATTAATATAAACTCTTTGAAGATAAAGGACAGGAGGGAAGAGACTTTTGTTTGTGAGGGTGGGCAGAGGCAGAAAAAACGGAAAAGAGCAATGAGAGGGAAGAGCATCTCCCCTTCCACTTGACCCCCAGACTGAATTTGCGGCCCCTGCAAGAGGCTTTAGCAGAGAAGCTGATGGGACCATTCGGTAGAGATGTCTTGAGACTGAGGATATAAGCAGAGCAGGCTTGGGGCCCCCAGTGACAAAGGGTGGCTGGCACACAGTGAGCAGGTGGCCCTTTCCCCAGCTCTGCCTGAAACTCAACATCCCAACTCTGCCGAACAAGAATTGGTAACTTTGAGGTGCAGGCGCTGGAGGGATCGCCCTCCCCACTCGCCCCTGCTCCCGCAGCCTCCTCACGGTGTACCCCCGCACCAAGGCCTGCTTCAAGGCCCTGGGCAGCCACCCTGACAAGGCGCAGCTGCTGAGCCACGGGCCACGCATGCTGGGGGCGGTGGGCATGACCATGCGGCATGTGGACAGCCTGCACGCGGGCTACGCTTGGCCCCACCAACTTCCCACTGCTGTCCAGTGTCCGATCTTGTTGCAGGGCAAGTTCACAGTGGAGATACTGACGGAGTGGGATAAGTTCCTGATGGGCCTGGCGGTGGTGCTGAGGAGAAGTTCCAGGCCCCGCGGGTATAGGTCTGCGCATGTCAATAAACAGGCCTCAAAAGGCTGGGCAAAGTTTAAAAAAAAAAAATTGGAAACTTTGGAGACAGCACCCATGGCATGGACTTTGGTGTTTGGCGTCTGTTAACTTTTCCAAGCTTCCATGAGCAGCAGACACACAAGAAGCAGGGAACAAGGGAAACAGACAGGTTGCCATATGGAGACACAACCAACAGACAGGCTTACCGACACAGTTGAGGCACCCTTCTGGTGACTTCCAGAAAGAACTGGAGGACATTCTGAGGGGCCTGAGAGCCTTGCAGCAGAAAATGTCTGGGCATACATACACATGCATTTCTTTTAAAGTCTGGCGGGATAATGGTTTTCTTGGGGAAATGGGATTATGAGAGGAGAGAGGAAATTCCACCTTCTACTGTATACATTTCCAGGATGTTTAGTGTTTTATAAGGAACATATATTACTTTCGTAATAGTAACATACAAAAAGATAGCCCCATTGAGGAAAACAAAAACAAAAAATACCCAGAATATGGCATTTGGCTTTCAAGGATGGAGCTCTGCTCTGCAGTGTGGCTGGTGACAGTTTGAGCCCACAATTAGTCATCTAGTGTATGTTGTGACCTGTGACAGGGAATAAAGCACAGATCAGTGGGACGCACGAGAGCTACCCTGGCCTCAGTGTCTGGAACTAAACCACGTCCAAGGGCAAAAGCTGGTTTGGTGGCCAGCGTGGAGTGTCAGGGCTAGTGATTATCCCTGGCATAGAGGCCCTGACTTGTTCTGCCTTGAGATCTCTTAGAAGAACACATCCTTTTGTGGGCAGTCAACTCGGGGTTCAAAGAGTTTCTCTCTCACACATGCTAGGTCGCAAGTGAGAGATGGAACTGAGGTCTCACCATCTGCTGCCCTCATGAAAATGTCCAACGTCTTCATCGTGATTCACAAGGCCTGGCCCCTGCCTTCCTCTCCGGCCTCATCTATCTCCTCTTCCAGCTTGTGTTCCTGGCACTGAACCAGGTATGGTCCCCACACGGTCTCCTCTTTCTAACCTGGAACCCCTCCCCTGCCCCTTCCCTCACTCTTCCATCCCCAGCTGCATTGTTATCCCCTGCAGAGAGTCCTCCCTGAGCCCTCACTGGGTGAGATACCATCAGCTCTACTCCGGACACCCTGGGTCATGCTCTGAACATCACCACTCTGTAGAATGGTCGCCTGACTACATGTCCGCGGCCCCCAGCTAACTGGCAGCTCTTTGTCTGGCAAGGTGAGAGTATTATCACAATGGCCTCCAGTTCTGGGCTGGAGGCTCCATAAATATTTGCTGAACAGGAAACCTCCTGGCCTGGACCCACCCTTCAGGCATCCTCACAGGAGGCACCCCTGCATGTTGACTGACTCACCTGTATGCTCCTCACGGCTCATGAGGGAAGGATGGTGGCAAAAGTCCAGGAAATAACTGCACTTACTAAAGTGTCTCTTCCTGGAAGAGAAACTTCAACACAAAAAGAGAGTTAAATGCTCACAGACGTAACTGGGACTGCAGACCTCCCACACAAAGTTCTCAGTGTGTCAGCTTACCAGGAACAAGTAGGAGTCACAAAGCCTGGCGGGGCAGAGGAAAGCACAGGGGACTGGAATTCTAACTGGGACTCTACCCCAAACCTCTGTGATTGTGGGCAAATCCCTTCACCTCTCAGGCCTGTCTGCCCCGAGGCCTGTGGAGTAAAGGCTGGGTCAGATGCTCCCTAAGCCCTGTGGGGAGGTAGGAGAAGAGCCGACCAATCTGAAAAGCACATCCACTGGGCTCCACCCAACATTGACCTCAGCCCTGGATACAGCCCAGTTCAAATCCTCCTGCCTGATATAAGCTCTCCTCACAGCAGACATTCAGTCTGGGTCACAGGGCAAGAACCTCACCAAGGCCCTTGCAGTTGGTGCTTTTTACAAACAAGCAAATCTAGATTGGACTGGCACCTTTCCTTTGAGGGGAAGGATACAGGCCTCCTCCCACCCCATTTCCCAGGGTACAGGTTTTACTCGGACCTTATTTCTCCAAGACCAAGCAGTCACTGGCCCCGTAGTGCTGGGCTCTGTCACCAGCCTGAACCTCCCTCCCTGCAGCAACTCTGGAGGCAAATCCGCACCCCCTTTCCAAGGTGCTGGAGTTGGGAAGCTACTGACCATGTTACAAGGTAGAGGGGAACACGTCTATTGCCACGGACTTCACTGAGCTGGGGGACAGGAGAGAGTCTGTTGATATTTTTCCTCTATTCTGCAAAATGCACAGGCTTGGGCATCAGTCAGACCTGGATTCAGGGTCAATTCTGCCTCTTTCTAATGATTTGACATTGGGCCAGCTTGGTTTTGAATCTGCAGGGTGGGGACAGAATGCCCACCTCGAAGGCTTACCTTGCAGGGTTGTTATGAGGATTGAATGAAATGACATCTGTCAAACACACAGCACAGGACCTGTCTAGTTGCTTAGCGAATGTCAGCAACTGTTAACAGCCTGGAAGTGTCTGGCAAGAGCAGTGGGGCTTGTGTTTTTAAAAGAATTTCCCCATGAGTCATGATGAGAATCAAATCCTGAACCCATAGCCCAGAAGTCAGGCCTTTTCATGCCACCCCACTCACTGCCCCATAGTTCCAGCTACTTTAGATTAAACAACCGAGAACTGTAAAAATGAAAATCCCCAGGCAAAGACTAGCCTGTTCCTGACCCCAGCGGCAGACCCAAACCCCAGGAATCCCCACAGCTCAGATCTGCTCTCCCTTTCTGCCCGAGCAGCGCAGCCCTGAGATCAGGATGCCCACATTCAAGTTACTGACTTTGAGGCTGCAGTGCCTCTACCCCAGTGAGCTTTTGCTTACTTATAGTGAGACCTTCGGAATGGTTACTTTTTAATCTCCTGAAAGATCCCTGCGGTCTGCTTTGTAGAGGAATAAGTACCAGGAAGTTGGGAGCACTTTCAGGGTGCGTGATAACAGGTGGCACCTGGAACTGAGAGGCGGGTGTCCAGGTACCTCTGCCAGCTCTGGGGCAATAAACCGTTTTGTTCTGTTTGGGTTGGCTTCAGTTTCTTTTTTAACGAAACCAAACCAAAGGATCAAGATGAGACAGGCAATAGGGTTAATAAAGACTAATGCCCCAAATGTAAGTTAGCTCCCTCAGCCAAATTCTCCCTGAGTTGATTAATAAATAAGCCAGTGATTAAGCTGCTCTAGCACATTTTATTCTGTAGCCCAGAAGGGATCCTTCACAGTAGGAGGGACTTAGACACTAGATTAGTAGCTTCAGTCCCTGTTCAACCTCCCTGTGCCTGTGTCTGCTGTATGTGGTGGGTGAGAAGACCATCTCCACCCACAGGTCACTTCTGGGACACCACCAGGACCAGAGAGGACCCAGAGACAAAGGAAGGCTCCTCGGGTCCTATTGTACAGGATTGGCCCATGAGGGGGTGGTATGTGCCTGGCACCATATCTCTTCAGTTAATCCTCATAATAACCCCGTACTACAGGAACTGTTATTAGTGTAAAGGCTCAGAGAGGTTAAGTGGCTCAAAAAACTGGCAGCAGCGGGTCTTAAGCCCCATTTCCTGATGTGGGAGGGTATCATGTAATACTGGCTTTAAAAATTTTACTACCAACGACAAACGTAGGATTTCCAAAAATTGGCAGATTAGTGAGCCATGGAGTTACTTGGGAAGCCTCAGTGGAAAGGGGGAAGGATTTGGAGGGGTTCCCGGGGAAGGGGAAGAGGCCAGGCACCCATGTGCTCAGAAGGAGTCCGGCGTCCTCAGGAAGCAGGGGGCAAGACCAAACACAGACTTTGTTAAAGCCAAATTTTCTCACATCCCTGCTGTAATGTATCTAATCTCTAATTAAAACCTACCAGAACACGTACATATGAGTGCTGTTAAAACCCCTGTTAATTTTAGCAGCTAGCACTCAGGATGAGAGAGCTGCGGGCAGGGAGGGATGCATCCTTCCACGCCTTCCCTAAGCCAACCTCTGCTGACGTCCTGTTCCCTCCAAGTGCCTAGGGCTCTGCGAACAGTGAAGGGTCACAACAGCCCCCTCCACACAAGTTCTTTAGGCTCAGAATCCTTTTAAAAAGAAAATTGCTTTTTCTTTGTGCTTTGGAAATTGCGCTGTGCAGATGGTTCCTGCAAGTTTAATTTTTTTGCTGTTTAACATTGAGAGAAAATATTTTTTGTTTTTAATAGATTTCTACAAATCAAATACATAATATTTCTCTTAAAATTGAGGTCATCTGGTTGACTAGTTCAAGATTCAGAACAAAACACATTCCAGGTTGTTCTGACATAACCAGAAAGGGCAGTCACTGCCTGGTGGAGACCCGGCTCCCTGTGGGAGAATGTTGAGCCCACATGGTCAGTTCCCAACTCCCAGACGGCATGAGTCTCTCCGTCCTCATCAGGCCCTCAGCCCTGGGTCTATACCTTTCCTGAAATCTCTGCCCCGACCCCATGTTATAGCTCTCTGTGCCCAGGCCACCATGCAGGAAGTGCCTGGAGGTGAGGGTCATGCTTCCTCCACTCTTCCAACAAGTATGCCTTAATACCTTCTACATGCCAAGCAAATTGCTGGGCCCTGGGGTACACCTGCAAGCAAGACTGTCCTGGCATCATGCTTAGGAGTATAGGCTCTGGAGCTGCACTGCCTGGATTGGAATCCCAGCTCTGCTGCATGCTAGCTATGTAGCCCTGGACAAGTCACTTAGCCCCTGTGTGTCTTAGTTTCCTGGTGTATACAATGGTGATAACAATACCCACCTTATAGCAATGAGAGGATTAAGTGAATTCACATATTTTTAAGTGTGTTTATGGTTAGTACCCAGTAAGTCTTACATATAATTTAGTATTACAGACTATAATGATAATGAAACAGACTGCTACAATAAAATACAAGTGCTCTCTATATCAAAGCTAAGTACAAGATGTCTTCGGAGGACACAAGAGGGGTCCGTAAACCCAGACTCAGGAGGGCTTCCCGAAAGATACCACCCTTTAAACAGCGACTTAAAGCATCAGTTAATCATAGTAAGGGGATATGAGGACAGGGAGGAGAGTGTTCCAGATTGAGTGACAGCACGTGGAGAGGTGTGGAGGCAAAAGTCCATGCTTTCTGGGTGAGTTTGCTTCATTTTAAAAGATAAAACACACAGTAAGTCAGTCACTGAGTAACCGTTACTACAGAGTTTGTAACGTGCCTTCTATCCATTGAACCATTAATGTACCAACCGCAGGGAATTCGGGTTCAGATCTCAAAGAACAAGCTGAACTCAAGGCATTTTTGAAGGTTATACCAACAAGGTCACAAGGGCTCACAAGTTCCCTTTTTATTTTCAATAGGAAACAAACATTTATGACCCTCAAAATTTTACGTTAATTGAATACTTTCTTGAATGATTTCTGGTCTGTAGGCTCCCAAGAGAAGACATAGTACAGCCTTTGTTTTTACTCCTCATGTTACCTCCAACACACTTTCCACAAGGCAGGTATCCAGCAAATGCCTTTTTTTCTTTTATACTTTAAGGTATTGAATTTTAGTTTGCATCTCAACTTGTTTTTAACAAGTGCTTTTTAAAACGGCGGATGTTAAAATGAATTCTGCCAAGGCCCAATGGTTCTCTTTCCACCCAGCTCACAGGAAGGCAAGTTTGGGCCTGCCTCTGATCTCTTAGAGCAGAAAGCTAATCTCCAAGGTGACCTCACTGCGGAGTTGTGTCTTATAGTCAACTAGCAAATCTCAGCATGAACTGAGAACAAAGGTTGGAAAGACAATAAAAATATAAACAAGCCAGGGCTGTACAAGTCAAGTCAGTTCAGAGAACCAGCTGGACCTATGGTTAGTTTTCAACTTTAAGAAAACTAAAAGGAGAGAAATCTTCCTGGACAATAATAATCCTTTTCAGAAGACCAGTACAGCCTTTTTCTTATTAGTAAATGAGGAAGTATGGTGCCTAAGATAATACAAGCAGGAAAGGGATTTTAAAATTCATCTAAGCCAGGGATTTTCAAACAGGTTTTGACTGAGGAACATCTTGTTCAAACTAAATATTACCAAAAGGTATAAACAAATAAAAACACACCAAGATGGAGCCGCTGTGCTTGAAGGTGGGATCCAGGCCCCAATTCCAGCTGTTGCCCCCTACCCCTGAGCACTTCTAAAACCACTCATTGTGGTCTAACAACACGGGCCCTGCTATTGTGCAGAAGGGAGACCTGAGGCTGAGAAAAAAAATACTTGTCCAAGGTCACACAGAAGCACCAGGATGAGTCCTTAGGTCTGCTTAATCCAAATTCAGTGACCCTTCCATTGCACCAAGCAGAGGGCAGGGAAAATATGCTTCCTAATGCAGAGGGTGGCTGATGGGAAGGAGGTGGAGCACAAGAGGAGAAGTATTGCCCTGTCCAGTGCACAGAGGGACAGAGCAGAGCAAAGTCATGTAGTGGCTACTAGCTGTTTGGGGGCCACAAGGTGCCTACTTAAATGAGAAGACAGCATATCCCACCTTCCTCCTGGATCACCAGCCTGCGATGATTTATTTGCATGGTCAAGTCAACAGACATTAAACCATCTGCTGTCAGGTGCTGGGAAGCCCGCTGGCTACAGCAGTACAAAAACGAATAAGTCACTCTGTCATCCCAGGTGCTCATGGTCTAGTACAGA